TCATCTGCGAGGAGATATAGTTGTTACAATGTAAAAAAATGAAATTCCGTAACGCTGGTTTTGCCCTATAATAAATAATTTTTAATTTTATTTCTTATGAATTTATCTTATTAGTTAATATTTCATATAAATATTTTCTATTTAGTTTTTATCAATATGTTTGTTATCTATTATGTTTATATATAAATAAAAAATGAATAAATATTTGTTATTTTTAGAAATTTATCAAGAGAAAATTAATTAAAAAAACATTATTTTCTAATTTGTTTTCGTTTAGTTTTTATTGTTCAAATTGATTATTTTGTTAATGAAACATTTATTTAAATATAAAAACTTTTAGTTAATATTCATTTTCAGTAGGATATTCATTTGATTTAACAATATTTTTTGTTATTTAATGATATTGACAAATTTAATATTCTAATTCGAAATATTTATTCGACTTATATTTGTTTTATTAACGATTTATATGATTAGAAAAATCAATTCTTATATAATCATAAATAGATGAAAATAAAAAGATCGTTTCTATTCTTTTTATATATAATAATAATAATTATTTATTTATAAACAATGTTTTATATAGATTATGTTAGACAGGTGAAGGAAAGAGAAAACATTTTGGAAACGAAACTATTTTTTTTTCAAAATAATATTCTCTAAAATAGTTTATGAATGTAAATATAAATATAAATCTTCCCAAATTTATCTTATATGTTGTATGTTGTAACTTCATAACCTAATGGAAATAATATGTATATTGATGATAGTCATCGAATTTCATCAATATAACATTATATACGATACTTTTTTTTGTAAACATTATTTATTTCAAACAATCAAACGAAATAAAGAAAATAATTTAGAATAGAATATGTTTAGAGTTATTATATAGATTAAATTTTATCTTCGAAACTGTCAAATTCGGTGAGAAAACTTTCTCAATATAAAATACTCAGATATTGGTCATTCCAAAAACAAAACAAAAAAAAAACAATTGACGGTTTCTGTAATTGATTAAAACACTTTTTTTTTATTGATTATAATTAGAGTTTAATGAAACCTATTTTTCTATCGATTATATTTATAAAATTTATACTTAGATCAATTGACCGAATTGAAAATAAATCATTACGATATTCATTACTGAAAAAAAGTTTATCAATAGATATTAATATGCTTCTAAACAATAATAATGATTGATAATATAATTATCCAATTAGTTGATTATTTATTATTTATAATAAACTCTACTCTTATATGTAATGTATCATGTTAGTTGCTCATATGAAAATGTTAGCTAATTTTTTATTCTATTGTTGTTTTAAATATCTCGAATTAGAAAAATAAATAACTGTTCAAAATTTTCATTTTTTTAAATAGACATTTCTAAACAAAAATAATTTTGTCTAAACGATCAGAAAAAAGATTTTTCTTGTTTGATTTTGAAATTTTATTTTTTACTTTTAACACAAATAAAATTCTCTCTCCTACTATAAATAGAAATAAGACGTGGCTTCTTTAAAAAATTAACTAAAATATATAAAAGTATTATTAAATTCATATTAAAAAAATAATTTCCTCTGCATTTTCGTTATCTAAGGATCTATTACAAAAAAAAAATAGTAAAAAATAATTCGTTTGAAGAATAAATTGGTTATTTTCATCTGAACGTACTTATAATATAAAAATAAAGAAAGTACCTAAAATGAGACGGTCCCATGTTATGAAAACCACTATGAATATAGTTACGTGCAGATCTATAAAATGATTATTATCTATTATTTGTAGAATAATAAAATAATTGAAGAAGTTTTGTTTTATTTTTAATCTTCATTGAATTATTTATGTTAAATATCATAGAAATGAAATTATATATTAATTAAAAACAAGAAAATAAATATAATTAAATGATTAAATAATCTTTATGAAATAATTTTAATTATATGTTTATTAATAATAGTTTATATTTATAATTAAACTAGCTGGAGTACCCGGCGTTGCCTGGAAAAATCCAATATTTTCTGCTTGACATATCGGAAAATGATGATCATATGGTTTTCTATAAGTTACCGATCTTGAATATTGAAAAATGCGCTGCGATATCTTTCTCTTTTTAGTCTTTTTTTATTTCTGGCATTTTAAAAGTTTTTAAAATGTTTTCATTCTTTATAATTGTTTTTCATTTTGAGAACTTCTCTCCTGTTCAATCGATCACCCAGCTTTTTTTGAGGAGTGGGAAGGCCCAACTGCTTGACATCTTTGCCAGCCATCTCCAAAACTTTGTCTTCGAAGAAAATTAGTGCTTGATTGAACATGTCAGATGTGTAAGTCAAGTCTATTCCAGGATTTTGTCTCCAAACTTGTATAAGAATGTCTTCGGTCAGACTTTTCTTGTGAGACTCCCACAATTGTTTCGTATTAGATGGTCTGCAAGTGATCAGCAGGATGGCGAACAAATCTTTCGGTCTCGCAGGTGACTGAGCAGCAGCAGCAGCTTCCAGCATCGTGGCATCCCAATGTGTATCATCTTCAAGTAAGTTTCTTAGCTGACAGGCCTCACGGAAGGTTGCACAGATCCGACCATTAACAGTTCTGAGAGCTTCAAACGAAGTGGGACCTTTTGACGTTGTGAAGTAAAAGTCGCAGGAAGAAGCATTCAAAGTTATTTGGATGCCCAGTATAGACGCGACCAAGAACGTCAGTTGCTCTTAAATCGGCATGACCAGGCACAGCGGCTTCTTGAACTCGACGTTTGAAAACTTTTCTTGATGCGTTCCAAGTGTAGTATCTTGGAGCATCACAGTACAACAAGGTTTTGGCGAAGTCATCTTGCTGGCAAAGTAAGAAAAATGCAGTCAATGTAGTCTTTGGGGGTTCATGGACTCTCTCATGTAGGTTGTCTTCCGTAAAGTAGACGCGCTGACCATTTTCCAAGTGTACACTCAAATGCACCACCGTGGGATGTCTCTCGTGAATTGGAAAATTGAAAATTCGCCAAATTGCTTCATTGCTGCTAATGTATCTACCTAACAGGTAACGTTGAACTTCATCAATGGCTGTTGCATCTTTTTCCAAGCCAAACATTGCCTGGTCACTGCCTTTGTTCACGTATCTGCAAGTGTACTTGATTGACTTAATCGAGTTGCAATATTCAACATTGATGTGGGCTTGAAAGATTCGAGAAAGCAGCGAACAGTACGGAACAACCCATTTATTGTCGATTTCAATCTCTTGGTAAGAGTTGCCGATTTTTGTCTTGATTTTGGCTTTGATGCCACCATTTTCTGGTCTTCTTCTTCTGTACAACGGATACCCATCGTCTCCGGTTTGAGTGTCATCGAGAAGTTGTCTTGGGTACCTTTTCGTACACTTACCATCCTTCATGCAGATAGAGCTGGGGTTGACACTACCGCAAAGACCGTGTATCATATTTTTGATGATTATGTCAAACAGGCATAGATCTTGTTGTGGATCAGGCAACTCAGCACTGATGATGTTGTCTATTTGATCTAGTCTAATTTTATCCTTCAGCCATATCAAGATGTGGGCGTGTGACAGTCCCCTCTTTTGCCATTCGATGGAATAAATCCAGCACCGAGTTGGTCCAAATATATGACCCTTGGTAATAGCATCCATAAGCTTTATCAGCTTTTGCCTAAACAATCTTGCCAACAAATCGTGACGATCGTAATGGGTCTGATCAATCATTAGCTCTGCTTGAATTTCTTGTCATTTAGGATTGCAAGTGAACGTTATAAACAGATCAGGTCTTCCGTAGTTTCTGACATATGTCATCGCGTCTTGAGTGTATTCATGCATGTGACGTGGGCTTCCAGTGAAGGTGGATGATAAAATCACTAATTGACCAAGGTTGTTCGCATTTCCATCATTGGCTACTGCATCTCTCAGATGAATGTATTCGTCCACTCTAAGTTTCTTCTGATTGAGGCGTACATACAATAGTCGCTCACTCTCAATCTTAGCATACATATCAACCACAAACTGGTGGAAGAGTTGGCGGCATCTTAAGATATGATTAACAGTTCCACCTCGCACCATCATTCTGTATGCATAAAAGTCCATTGCCGATACCTTTTTGCCGTTAACAGGCATTCCTGTTGTCGGATCAGTCTGCATGATGAGGAAGTGATAGCCATCTTCTCCCTCCTAAAAGATGAGAGGATATTGCAAGGCGTCATAGGACCTGTGCGTCTCTGTAGCTGGTTATTTCTTTTCTCCAAGACAATGTCCCGCCTGTCAAACTCGTTGCTCACAATGACGATTGCCATTTCATTTGTCACAGGTTCATTGAAACGTCGCTCATGCTCTCCAGCAGGTCTCTTATCCGCTCGAATGACGACTCTGTATGCGCCGAAAGGCATCCTTTGAAGAGCAGACTTGAAAATGTGGACATAACTGTTGTGCTGATAAAGTATTTGCTGTAGTGCCATGATAATGTTTGGATGTGTTCCAGGAATATTAGTGCAACGCTGCTTTGCCTTCTGTTGTTCGTCACCCATGGAATAAGTCTGAAGGAATTGATGCTCTTCATTCGGAAGTGGCAACAGGGATCCTACACGATGATAAACTTGGCCTTGAACGTTAAACGTGGGCATAAAAGCTGGCTCGCATACTTCCTTTGTCGCGCCAAAAGACGTCATCTGAAAACAAGAGTTGTACTTCCTGATGTTTTTCAGAAAATGCTTCGATCTAGACGTAGTCCTTGACATCAATGACTCGAGTGGCTCTGGAGGAGATTGAAGTGATGGTAACCTCACTTTACCACCGGAGCAGCACATGCCTGGAGCTTTTCCAGTCCATTTGAGAACACCGCAGTATGAGCAAGCGTTGTCCATTCGTCCAATATGAAATTGAGGATAGTTGTCATAGTTGTTGACCAGACTGTATCGAAATGCTTCACCTTCTATAAATGTCCATTGTGCTGCCCTGGAAGTTGCTTGTCTTGTACGCTGATCATTAACCCGAGTGCGTGCCTGTTATGGACTCTCAGTAACTCTTGCGACTACTTGTCTTGAACGTTGATCACCAAGCTGAGTCCGTGTCTGTTCTGGACTCTCAGCTGCTCTAGAGGCAGCTTGTCTTGAATGTTGATCATCAAGCCGATTTTGTCTGTGCTCTGGGCTCTCAACATCTCTTGAGGCTGCCATTCTATTCGCAGCTGACGTATTTCTGCCCAGCAGGGTGCTTCGTTTTGGTGGCATTTTGTAGTATTTCTAATGCAAGTAAGACAGGTTAGAAATACTCGTCAAGAAAAGTGTGTTTGTAACAAAATTACCTTAGAAATTTGCTCTTGAAGTCCAATAAAAAAGACCGTAGTAATCTGTAAATCTTGTGATGTGTATATTGAATGTCAAACACTTACTTGATTGTGTGTGAATAAGTTTATTAGTAGAATGGAGAGAAGATGAGAAACACTATAGCGAATATAGTTCTGATACAGAAAACAATAGAGAAACACGCCTATATATATGTATAAAATACATTGGAACATTCTGATAGCGTCATCGTATGTTATGATGTGAACATTCTGATGACGATATATGATGCGTCAGAAAGAATGTGATACATCTTGTGCGCGCATCAGAAATGAAAAAGAAAATGAGTCATAGTTTAGGATGTTCCATAGTCGATTATGTGAGTGTAATCCAAAGGCACATCACTTTGTGTTACAGTGTTGGTGTTCTCCCATTGCATTTTCTACCTTCTGCTCTACCATTGTGTACAGAGCATTATCAACCATTCTGATTCTTGAATATTTAACCACTTTATTAGTTAACTAAACATTATATATACACACAGAAAGGCATTAGGTATTTATATTGAAGAAAGTCAAAATTTTCGAATATTGGGGGGGAGGGATAATATCCATCCATTCCCTCTCTTCATCCCTCGACTGTCGAAACATCCCTGCTCGAGTTATCAAAAAAAACCAATCGCACTCCAGACTTTTTCGATGAGACACACACTGTAGCGATCCAAAAATGGGATTACTAAGTATCCCAGAGATAAAAGTTTTGCATTGAAAAGTAGCCCTTGATCAAGAGCAGTGCGAAGATATAAAAGCAAAATGCAAGTACCTCGGAAAGCAGCCAACATTTTCGATATTTTTTAAAAAATCCAAAAGTTTTTCCACCATTTTTGAAAACTGAAGGGGACTTTTCCCCTCCCCCTCTCTCGGTCCCATCGACTCCGTCTTACCTTCCCCTAGATCCAAGGATGTGCCATGCAAAGTTTGGTTGCTCTAGCTCTTACAGAGACTGAATGCATAAAGAATAAACAAACTTTCTTCTTTATATATTAGATAGATAAAATAATCTAATAAAAATCGAAAATATTATTTTTTGTTCTATTATTTCATTTGTTTGTTCAGTTAAATATTGTTTCAATAAATGAAATGAATAAAAACTAGACAAAATATTTGTTCAATTTATAAATCATGTTTAAATGTTCTATTATGATTAAAACTAGTTAGAACATACAAAAAATAGTGAAAGAGATACTTTAATATCATATAGGAAACTTAAACAAATTTTCTTTTTCTATAGTCTGATAAAGAGAAATAAAGGTCTATCTTTCAATGTTATTTTATCATATATCAATTAATATCATAAAAATAAAATAGAATATAAGAACTGTTTTGTTCGCATGTGTCACCTCTGCATGAAGACTAGTAAAGAGTTTTTTGAATAAATTTTCATAGAAACAAAATAGACAAATGTTATTTTCACCGTTGGAAAGAGAAAATGAAGATGCATCGAATTGTGTATTGTAAGTTTTTCTAATATTCATTTTTAAAGTATTTTTATTCAATTTTCTAACAGTTGGAAATACGTTTTTTTATGACAAAAAAAAGGAAAAATCACAAAAGTGAACTTTTTTCACAGATTTTTCTAGAAAATCATATTTGAGACTCAACTAGTATGCATATTATTTATCTCAGCCTTCCGTATTTCGTAGATATTCGATAACTGGTTTGAATTTATATTTGATAATTGAAAATTTCCTGTCAACAACATGCCATACAATTTTATTCTTAAAAAGATCAATTGAAAACTTTGAATACACGATTCGATGTGTATTTATCTCCTGTTGTCAACGGTGAAAATCGTACTTCTCTCTCTTATTTTTATGAATAGTTATTTAAAAATTGTTCACGCATATTTATAAAAATGACTATTAATACAAAAATCATCATATATCATATTGAAAGACATATTATTGAAAAAAAATAATTATTATTATTATATTATTTGAAGCATGATAAAAAGGGTATAAAAAGATGAAGCTTTGATTTCTATATAATATTTATTTGTTAGACAAATTTAATTTTTAATTAAAAAAAAATTCTTTTTGATGATTATATTTAATTTAAATAAAATAGTTAATTTATAGATTGATAAATAAAATATATTTTATTTAATAAATGTTTGTTTTATTATCAATACTTTTTCAATTATTTATTTTAACTTTTTTAATTTATAATTAATTTAGTTTTTGTTTTTTTCAAAATTAAAAATTAAAAATTGTTTTAAATTTTAATATTNGAGAAAACACAGAAAATATAAACATAAATGTAAGATTTTTTTCTATGATTTAAAAAAAACACATCCGTGCTATAAAAATAGGATATATAAACTGGAACGAGTTCGTGACATACGGGTGTTCGGTATATCAAGAGAATATTTTTATTAATTAAGTAACTTGCCAAGAAATAGAAATTTTTTATCCATTCAATGAGCCCTTAATTGATGAGCAGTGAAAAAGCTTGGATGATATCTTTAATCAATTTTCAAATTTGATCTTTCATCTAATAACTCTTTTTAATACTATTAAAAGACTTCAAATTTAGTTTCGATGTTACTGCTACAATTTTATAAAAAATCAGTTCGCAAGAAAGATTACATGATCTTTATACTGGTCAAATCTAAATTCTTTATTTTAACGACTTTGAGTAGGCACAAAAATCAACTAGTTATAGATATCTATATCCTAAAATATCCAGTCCAATAAAGCGACGAAGAAAAAGTGTCAAAAAATGCTATAGAATTGATGTCTTCTTTTAGTGTCTGTAAAACGTCTATAGAATATTTTTTCTTCAATGAGGCAATCTTCATTTTCTCAAAGCGTTAAGTAAATTTTCACAAAAAGAATTTCAAAGCAAAGAGTAACAAAAGGGTTTTCTTCGTATAAGCATACCGAGCTTTTACATTTTCACTTTCATCAACTCGTGAAAAATGCTATTTGATCGTGTTTTACTTTTTTCTCGTATTTAATATTTCAAGAATAATTCATTAAAGTACTTGATATATGCTATTAATCTCTTTTTTTGATCTTTGTGAAGTTCAAATAAATTTATAAATGTGTTTTTCATATCAGCAAACTATTGATTTTTCTATGTGAATATGGATTTCATTTTTTCATCTAGTATTGTGTGTACCTTCTGATAATCTTATAGCACCATGGGGTACATTCGTCATCGACATATCCTTGTGAACTTCAGATTAGTCCGGAGGACTTGATACTATTTCATTGTGAAGATTTTATAACTATATGGCACAGTTATATGAAGACAGTTGATGGTTGAAGTCATAATGAGTCATGCACTGTTCAAATGAGATTAAGATAACTGTTGACGTGTACCTCAGTAAGACTTTCTATTATGTATAAAAAATCTGTATGATATCATATTTACAAAAGAAGTATAACTATTGTACTTTGACTTCGCATTAACGGACATCTATAGATTCAAACTTCTTAAGTGTGTAAATGAAGTTTTTTCGTTTTTCTTCCTCCTCTTCTATATTTATCCTTGCTTCTCCAATACTCATTTATATACACTTATAAATGGACTTGAGTCTAATAACTATGCAGAAATCGTTATACACGCGTATAAGATAGTGACTACAATAGGGTTGGATGAGTACCATTGATAGGGGATTTTGCAAGCATGCATGGACTGCCAAAGTACTATGATTTCATAAAAAGACAGAATCGTTAAAAGCAAAGGATATGACTCGAGCTTTTAAACATTGGCGTAGCCGGCAATTTTTGTGTTATAAATGATTCAGCAATTAGGTTAGTTCTTGGACGATTTGATTGCTTGGTACCTGTTCAAGAGTTCTGCGAGAAGTAACATATTGAGGGATAGCTTATTGCCCATTGACCTGATCAATGGTTAAAAAGCGGGTCCTTTGATCCTGACTCATGATAAATCCTGTTAGGAGTTAGAGCTCGTTTTTTTATCCTTAGACTCGATGTTGACTATGCCATCATATTTAAGCGACCAAACATGCGTGCATATACTATTTATCCTATACGAATTTTTTTCATCAGTTCCATGCTAAGGTATGCTAAGTATATTTGATTTTTTTAATGTTTTATTATATACAGAAATATATAATTAGTCCATATTAATCTATTAAGGCTGCAGCTATCCGATAATCTTCATCTCATATATAGTTATATGAAATAGGTGGTATCTGACTGTGAATAAACAATGCGAGACAGATGTATATGTTCATTATATTCGGTTGAACTTGTGTTGCAGTATTGCTACGTAATATGTTGAAAGAAATCGAAACTTCGTATTTCAAGACATCCTTCAAGGAGAAAAAAAAGATAGGAATTGAATAAGTAATTAGCTGTAGTTAATATCATCTGCTACGACGTTGGAAACACTAAAAATTAATAGGGCGAACTTACAGTTTTAGTTTATGTCCTTGTTGAGAAAAAAATCATTAAACTATCCAAACTAATAACAAACAGTCGAGTGGGCATTGATCAACGGTGTATCGACAAAATAAAATATCCCTCACGATCAAAGCCTCAACTTCATATTGATCCGTCTCTTGCTAAAATATGGATGCATTTAAAAGAATTACTAGTATGATTTTACGTGAGATCTGCCTGCAATGCTGTATTCCAGCCAGATGAGAGAGGCATACATTTTTAAGAAAATACGTCATACAAAAATAATGAATTCATTGTTCTGTTTTTAATATTCTAGTTCTGCACATTCGGTTTTGCGATCAACGAGAGAGATTTAATGAATGAACTTTTAATTTACATATCCTGTTGTTATAGCACGAATTTGTTTCTTTTTAAATCATAGAAAAAAATCTTACATTTATGTTTTAAATATAAAGATTGTATTTATC